GGACGATCAGCTCTAGTTCTACTTTTGGCTGTTGTACGCTTTGTGCCTCTGGTTCATGGGGTTTTCTGGAGACTTCATCCACTCCTTCTTGAGGAGCTGCTTGAGCTGGGAGAGGCGCATGTTGGGGTTCTTCTGCTTCAGGCGCGGCAGATTGACCTCTTCAAAAGCCGTGAAGGCAGCTTTCATCCGGCGCTCGGGGTGCCGGTCCAGATCATTGGCAACGCTGCCGGGGGGGATAATTCAGAGAGAGAGAGAGAGAGACGCATCAGAAACACCTCCCTGCAGGCGCCGGCCGCTCGTCCCGCTCTGATCCCCTGTCAGCGCAACCAAGTGCCCCCAGAGTAACTCGGGTGATAAAGCAGAAAACCCCGTGATACTTCCCCTACCCGCTTCAAATACTCTCCCCGGAACACCAGGGCAGGGGAGGTGTCCTGTTCTCGCCGTCGAGATAGAAAGTCACGGCCAAAGCGTAAAAAGCAGGCAGTTCTGGGGGAGGGAGCGCCCGCAAGAATTTCACAGAATTCACAGAATTCACAGAATTCACAGAATGGTCAGGGTTGGAAGGGACCTCTGGAGATCATCTAGTCCAACCCCCTCGAATTTCTCCTAAGGGAAGCGTCACCTTCAAAGGAGAGCGCCGCTACGATACGGCCACGTACCTGAGGACGGCAATAGCATCTTCAATCGTCCTGGCTTCCACTGATCCCTCCTCCAGCACCCTCCTGTTGATGTTCTCTTCCAAGGGGACCTCCAAGTGAGTCTTCTCCTTCTCCACTGCACAGGGAGGGGGGAAGGGAGAACCGTTACCATCGAAGCCAGCCTGCGCCAAACCCTCAGAAGAGGCGCTGCCTTTTCCAAAGCACTCTGGAGGAAGAGCTGTTTCTCCACCGCTGTTTCTCCGCCTCAAGGTGATGGGGAAGGGGGTTCTTTTCCCCCCCCACGTGGGTGTCAGACACAGCCACAGCACAGCACGCAGCACATGGTACCTGCAGGGCAGCTCTTGCTTTCCGGACACGTTGTTCTTCGGCGACAGTAGGTGAAAAAGGAACAGCCCCCCATCCCGCTCCCCAGCCCCCCCCACCCCCCCCCCCGCGGCTCCCAGGGCCTTTCTATGGTACCACCAAACCTGTATCCGCATTCTCCTTCTGCTGTTGGTCTTTTCTGATCGTCTCCTCGATCTGGGCCCTGGTGACTTTGCCCGGAGTGACCTGCTTGGGCGACTTCCCTTTCAGCTTCGAGTCTTCCTCCTCCAGCAGGCGCTGCAGCTCCTTCTTGCGCTCCAGCTGCTGCTGCCGCCGCTTCTCCCTCTCCTCCTGGAAGGAAGAAAGCAACAGGTCACCTCCACCTTTACGCCTTCCATCGCCCTCCGCAGCAGCAGATGGAGAAGGATCGAACTACCCCTTCCAGGAGCCGGGAACCCCGCTTGAGCAGCAACGGGCACCTCGCTGCTGGAGCTAACGCAGCACCAACTTCACCTTATCGGAGGAGGCGTTGGCAGGTTCCCCCCCGACGTCGACAGCGAGGGCCTGGCCCGTCCCTTCGGAATAATAATTCCCCCCTCCCTGCCCCGTCTGCAACCACGCGCCGGCTCCCCGGGATGTCGGCGCTGCGCAACACAACCCCGCGGCGGAGAAGGAGCGGGAGGCACCAGCCAGGACCGCTGACAATCAGATTAAGTTTTCCACTTTAATTTGAATAAGTGGCCGGAGGTTGAAAGTTCAGCGGTTGTTCGAGACAAGCAAGAGGCTGAAT